AAATGACATCATTTGGAAAAGATGTCAAAAAATATGTCATTTGTAATAACAAATATTTATGTCATTCTGAGATAAGCCATAAAAATGTCATAACAATGGCATTTTCTTATGGACATATGACATTTTCATATTGTCATCCTAATAAAATATATTGTCACAAATGTGGCAGTTCTTTCAAATAACCAATGATTTTGACATACTCAGATTATAAAGTGGCATTTTGCTGAATAAATATAATTCAAATCCAAAAATGACATTTTCTCTAAGAACAAGTAGTCATGTCATTCTCAAGTTTGAAATTAATCAAAATTAACAAAGTAATAAAAATCAAATTCAAATGTTTCTGTGTTCATTCATTGAAACTTAGCTCTTTTGTGATATTTGTAGATCCAAATTTCATTTAAAATTTAAAGTTCACAAAATAGAAGAGACAAAAAAAACAAAAAAGAACAAACAGAGGGCCAGAAAGAGGGGGAAAAGGAGACGAAAGAGGGGAAGAAGTAGAAGAAAGATGAGGGAAGGAGGAGGGAGTAGAAAGATTGGGAGGAGGGGGTTACTTTGGAAATTGCAGAAGAAAAGAGGATCCAACGTGAGCACAGGAGAGCGACAATGGAGGATCAGTTCAATCGGCTATGGAGGAGCTTCGATCCATGGGATTAAGATGTTTGTGATGAATTGCAGATGAATTGCAGAGGATGGCAACGATCGCTTAATGTTACGGCGCAGGGGCTATTTCTGTCCAAATACAAATATTTACTCCTATTTAGGGAATTAAAAACAATGAGTCCTATTTTTGCAATTACCCCATGTTTTACTCCTATTTTGGAAATTCTCTCTTGAAGTTTCTGTGTATAACATTTTTAATTATAGGCACTTCATCATTTACCAAAAACAAAAACAGAATATTGCTCCGATTTCTACTATCAATCATTTAATAATGTAATCTTACCAAGCATATAAAGAATCAAGCAGCTTTGTCGGACGACTGATATACAAATATAGTTTACAAACATTCATATCACTTCAAGATTGGTTATTGGTATGTGGTATGTTAACAAGAAATGAAAGATCAAATAAAAAATACTCCGTATTAGTGTAAGGATTTCAGCTCCGATCCCTTGAAAGAAGATACGTAGTACCTAATATGGGAAAATAACAAAACCCAACGAATCTACCTTATTAAGAGAAGCCACATTGGCTCTTATAATGGCATCATCACTACTATCATTTTCTGGAAACTCTATAAACACAATAATCGAAATTATGTTTAAATTACATGGACCAAAAGTCATGAATTATGCTGTTACAAAAGACCTCAAAATGTAGTGGTGTTAGGATATACCCAGGGCCGTGCCTTGTTAGAGGCTGGTGAGGCAAAGGCCTCAGGGCCCCAAAAATGTTGAAAATTTAGGGGCCCATAATTTAAAATATCTTCCTTTTATTCATATGTATTTAAATTATAAAAGATGTGTCTTGCTTTAAATTCTATGTGCTATTGTGCTTCAAAACTAAAATAGCCCATCAAGCACCAACAAAGTGAAATGGAACGACTGAACATAAGTTTTGATATTTGAAATTGTAAAGATAGAAAGATTATGGCCCTAATTCAAATTTGTTTTGCATGATGAAAAAGATTTTTGTCTTAATCGGCGTGCTGAAATTGCTCCCAGGGTGATTTCTGATGCCATTGATTGATTCTCTTTTTTATTTTTGAAAATTGATTGATCCATGCTTAGAAAATCCAGCTTGTGTTTAATTTGGCATATTTAAACGAATTGAGATGCACAATTAAACAATTTCAGTTTTTTTACATTTAAAATTTAAATTGTAAGTAGGTTATGCACTCGTATTTACTAACATGTCAGTATGTATTACTTAGCACAGTTGTTTATCTAATATTAGTTTCAACGTTTGTTTGACATTTTGTGAATTAGTTATGTTATCAATTCACAAGTAATTTATTAAGCACCTTGATTAATTTATATTTTTGCGACTAATATTGTTTGAGGGGTTATACTTAATTAGTTATTTTAAATACAGTTGGTATTGTTATACTGTACGTAGTATTATGTAAATATTTATTTTATTAATTACATTTTGATGTTTTATCTTTAGCTTCAAAACAAATTATACTACACATTTACATGAAATTGTAATTTATAGTTTTTTTCAAAAAAAAAAATTTACAGGGGCCTTTTTAAGAAGTTCGACTAAGGCCCAAACTTAGGTAGGATCGGCACTGGATATACCTAAATAGGATAGATATAATATGCATTCAACTAAAAAATAGTTGAGAGTGGGTATCGATTTGCATGTTCCTCAACAAAATATTCATGATGCTAAATAAGCTCGCCAGATATTAGTATTCAAAGGACCGCTTTGGGCATTTTAAGGCAACACCTGACACCAAATGTACTGCAATTTTTAGCTTCACGTGGTGCTAACTGCTAATGTCCACTTCTATCACTTACCGCAACTAATTCAAGCATCTCTGATAAATTACCTGATTCGATCTTTGTTATAAGTTACTACAATCGCACCCTGTTTTACATTATTTTAGTAAGTTCCTAACACAAATATAATTATAGAATCCTTTTCAAGCTTTCACTCTAGTAGATTTTTGTCATTTTGTGTTTCATGATTTATCTTTGATTGTATTGTCAGTCTAGTGACCAACGTTTTGTTGATTTAATATATTTGTTGGTTTTAACTATAAAAAAACTAGTTATTAAATATTATATTGTTTCAGGCTTTTAATTAGTTAATTTTCAGGATTTAAGATTCTGATTTTTTATAACATTAACTAGTTACTATCTTTAACTCCTATTGATTTAAATTGTTTTACTTGTTTAAATGTCATTAAGTAGAAAGACTAATCTCTTATACTCCATGATACTTTGTTACATTATACACTATTTTAATATGTGAATTATTAATCTTCTTGCATATATTACAATGTATTTATAATTTGCTAGGTATCCAATATCTATATTACAGTATGTGGTACGAGGTGGCAAGTCTTCTAAACAAGCTAATGAAAAAAGTAATAGGCAAAACTATCTTTGTGTAAAATTCAATCCGATTCGTTTTGGCTAATTCATGGTTTTGTAAATTTATCAATGTCAGCTTAATTATATATACAGAGAAGGATTTTTTTGCAAAAATTGAAAATGAAGCAATTTTGTAACGTTTTCACCCTCCACATATAAACACATGCAAGACACTATTGTCTGAATTCTTTTCATCTCTTAACAATCAATAATAGTTCAGAAAACTGTCAAATAAGTCCCCCGCACTATATCTGAAAAATCAATTATGCCCTTGTACTTTGAAAACACTCAATTAAACCCCTGAACTTTTACAAAACGTTCAATTGAGGGTTTTTAGCTGGTCAACAACCAGTTTTCCGGTTAACTGCTCATGTGGCGTCCACGTGGCAGGCCACATGGCAATTTTTTTCCCCACCTTTTTCCTTTCCTTTTTTTATTTCTATTTCTTTTTCTTTTTCCTGGTTACCCTCTTCCCAATTCCTCTACCCGGAATTCATCATCTGCCATCGATCCAAAGTGTTGAGCCAAACATGGGTCTTCTTGTTAGGACCTCCGGCAAACCCTAACAAATGGCAGCAACTTCGACAAACTCTGGCAAAGGGCGGTAACTCCGACGAACTCTGGCAAAGGGCGGCAACTCCGGCGAACTCTGGCAAGGGGCGGAAACTCCGGCGAGGGCAACTGTGTTGGCAGATTGTTTCTGATTTTATTTGTTTATCATTAAATGAATTAGAGTTAAATTATTCTTTTAGTGAATGCTATTTTATTGGGTTGTTAGAAGTAGTGAAGTCATGATTTGTTATGTAACACCCCCTACCCGGCCCGGAAAGCTAGGGTAGTGAGCGCTACCCGCAGTGCCGGAGCACCAAAGCGCAAATTAACTTTCTATTTTTTTCTTTTCAATATTTCAAAAATACTTTTATCTTAAAAACGAACTAGTAATGATAATTTTATAAAAGTTCATAATTGCGGAAGCATCCATATTTTATACATAACACGTAAAAATTTAGTGTTGCTATTACATCACACTATTATACTAAATACATATTTATTATGCAGACTAAATATGAATATTACTAAATGCAAGTGTGACTCTGTGGTGATTGGCAGATTGCTCCCAAATGCTTTCATTCTTGAACTTTTCCTTGTACCGACTATGTACACTACAAGAAAAATGGCTTTTAACGACAATCATAGAACGACGACTTTAAAAAGTGGTCGTTAAAAATATCTTTTAACATTGACTAGTGAGTTCGTCGTTATTAAATTTTATCTTTAACGACCATAATGAAAAGTTGTCGTTATTAATAATGTGAAGTCATCGTTATTACTCGTTAATTTGTTTTCAAATATACTCGTATTATTTTAAAAATTAATTCAAGAAAACAAATTAGATGAATTCAAGTAAGATTAATTAAAGAGAGAATTCCCTAAATAGGAGTAAAAACGTTTTGAAATTCCAAAATAGGAGTATCATGTTTTTTATTCCTTGAATAGGAGTAATCTGCCAAGTTTGGAAGAAAATGCCATGTTTAAAAGCCTTGTAATGCCAAACTTGGCAGAAATTTACTCCTATTCAGGGAATAAAAAACATGATACTCCTATTTTGGAATTTCAAAACGTTTTCACTCGTATTTAGGTCAATTTCTGTTAATTAAAAGGATCTGTTTTTGAGTGTGCCGCCAAAAATTTCAGTATGCCACCCAAAATTTTGGCTTGTATTTAGCCTTTGCACCCTCTTTTATACCCTTAATTAGCCTTTGCACCCTAATTCGAAAATTGTTAGTATCTACACCCTCCATCCGTTAGTTATCTGTCAATAGGTAAACAGAGGTGTAAAATGACGCCAATGCCCTGATGAAACTAACTTCCACAATCGTACACCCTCCATCCGCAGTCTTCTTTCTCAAAGAGCGTCAATTTGAATGTTCTCCCAATTGGATTGGTGCGAGTGAATTAGGGTTGGGATGAACGAAGGAAATAGAATGGAAGATGGTGACAACGTATGGGTGGATTCAGGAGTACCTATACAGAGTGGTGTGCAAAGGATTCAGAGGACATCAAAGCTTCCTGTGAAGAGAAAGATGGATTCTTTACCGGCTCCAAGTAAGTTGAATGATGCTTAGTTTGTCATATTTGATTATGAAGATTCTTTTATAAAGAGTATGTTATATTCAGTTTGTGACACATATTTTTTAATTTTTGATTATTAAGATGAGTTATTTGAATGATTTCAGTTAGGGTACCATTCTATGAATCTAGCATAGATGAAAGAACAAATAGTGATGGTTTTGGTGATATATTCATTGAATTACCTCCACTGAACAACTCTCTGAATGTGCCAAATGTAGAGGATAGCTCACAGTTTTATGAAGGTATATGCTCATTACTTGGTTCAATATAAGGAAATTATGTTGTGTTGTATATGTATTAAAGTAAATGACTTATTTATATTGTTGATTGTTGATATACATGTTATTGTACTATGCTATGTAGGTATCCAATTTGAGCAAATTATTGATGGACTAGATGGGTATGATCTGAATGAATCAGATGATATGAATGCATCAGATGAGGAATTACATGACTGTAGTTCTTATACAGAAGAAGGGAGTGATAGGGATGATGTACAAGGCACAACAAATGGGGAGAATATAGGTGAGGTGTTGAATGGTATGCCACAGAAAGCTTATGACTGCAATGAGGAAGCTTTTATTGGATCAAGTTCTGTGCAATGGGAAGACCAATTAGACTTGGCAATCGGAAAACAATGGGTCACTATGGATGCATGCAGAAAGTACATTAGAATGTATGCCATCAAGAATAAATTTGAGATCATATTTCAGAAAAATTGTGCAGATAAGCTGATTTTGAGATGTAAAGGGGAAAGCTGTCCTTGGAGGTGTTATGTAATTAGAAAAAATGATGGGCACACAACTGAAGTGAAGTCTCTCCAAGAAGAACATAATTGTGAGAATGATGGCAGGAACAAGAATAGAGGGGCAAATGCTAGATGGATTGCTACTATGCTGGCTGAGGATATGAGACTGCACCACAACAGTTACACACCCCAAGATATCATTGCTATAGCTTGGAATAGGTGGACTTTAAACATTAGTTACTGGCAAGCATGGAATGCTAGGCTAATGGCACTTGAAGAGCTGCATGGCAATTATGAGAAAAGTTATACTAAAGTTCCTGAATTGTGCAGACAGATTCTAGCTTCCAATCCTGGTAGTTTGGTTGAGTGCAAATATGACTCTGACAATAAGTTTCAGTATTTATGTGTTGCTTTTAGGTGTAGCTTGGAAGGGTGGAGGACTGGCTGTAGGCCACTAGTAGGGTTGGATGGTTGCTTCCTAAAAGGAAAATATAGAGGAGTGTGCTTAGCAGCTATTAGCATGGATGGGAATAATGGACTGTTTCCTCTAGCAGTCTTCATTTGTAGAAAAGAAGATGGTGAGAATTGGGACAAGTTTTTGGCATTAATAGCTCCGGAGCTGAAGAAACACCCTTTGCCACTTACTGTCACATCTGATAGGGCTCAAGCTATTATAACAAGTATTCAGACACATTTGGGAGGCTGCAATCCTAGGAGCTGCTTTAGACACATCTTCAAGAATATGAGTAAGTGGTGGAAAGGGGAACACATAAAGGAACTGGCCTGGGATACTGCTTCAGCATATAAAAAGGTTCACTTTCAAAGATGTCTTCAGAAGTTGGATGAAGCTGCAGTTGGTATCAAGGAGTATTTGTTGGAGATAGGTCCAGAGTTATGGTCAAGAGCACATTTTGATACAACTTGTAAGAGTGATCACCTGACAAATAACTTCACAGAGAGCTATAACAGTTTTATATTAAGCCAAAGGGATAAACCTGTGTGTTCAATGATAATAGGTATATCATTCCTTTTAATGAAGATTATGTATGATAGGAAAGTTCAAAGTAGTACTTGGAATGAGAATGATGTTGTACCTAGGGTAGGTAGCATCCTGGCAGCTTATAAAGAGAAGCAAAATGATTATGTCACTTGCCCTTCAGGTGAAGGGACATTCTGTGTGAGAAAATTTACCGGGGAACATTGGATTATTAACTTAAACAAACAAGAGTGTGAGTGTTGTGAGTGGCAGGTCACAGGCATCCCATGTGTACATGCAGTGCATTTGATTAGCCATTTGAGACTTCCACTACCTCAGTATGTTCCTATTAACTTTACTTTATTTCTTTGTTTAATTTTTATATTGGAACTGAATGCTTGTTTTGTATTTCACTTCATGTTGTTGCTGGTTATAGATTTTGTAGTCCATTACTACATGTGAAGGCCTACAAAGCATGTTATCAAACTAATATCAAACCAATATCACATGAAAGTGATTGGCCAGAGGTAGTATGAAATCAATATATACATTCATACATTCCAGAATCATTAGGCATAAATACTAACCATAATAAGCACTATTTTAAAATTGTGCAGGGAAATGAACTTCTACTGCCCCCTAAGCTTTCGAGAGCCCCCGGGAGGCCTAAAAATAATAGAGTAAAGGGGCATGATGAGACAGAAACACAAGGCAGTAGTCAGAAGAAGTGCACCAAGTGCCAATCTTTTGGGCACAACAAAAGATCATGTCAAGGAGGGCCAGTTGCTAGAGGTGGTGGGAGAGGTGCTACAGGTGGTGCAAGGGCTGATGGAAGGGCTGGTTCAAGGGCAGGTGCAAGGGCTGGTTCAAGGGTAGGTGCAAGGGCTGGTTCAAGGGCTGGTTTAAGGGCTGGTTCAAGGGCTGGTTCAAGGGCAGGTGCAAGGGCTGGTTCAAGTGCAGGTTCAAGGGCAGGTGAAAGGGGTGGTTTTGTACTAAATGGGCGTGGTGCTGGAAGGGCAGGTGGTACAAGGGGTAGAAGAGGTGGTGGAAGTACTACTGCCTACCACCTGTAAGTCATATGTGTATATATATATGTTTTTGCAGAGTTGTTGACACAACTAGTGTTTACCACAACTAGTTGTTGCTGCAACCGGTTTTGCTCACTGCACAGATGCAATATATGTGGTCCAACATGGTTTTTTTGCTCCTTGTAAATTCTAGACATGAAGCTCACTCTTTTTGTATAAGTACTAGAGCTAATTAATTTGCTAGAATTAGATAACAACAAAGTATAAACACTTTGCACTTGCAGTTTTTTGCGCAATGTAATATGAAAGGTCTGTTGACCAAAACAGTTATATTATATAATGAGTTTTTTACTCATAAGTTGAATTACATCACATACTTGACCTTCATATGTTACTTTCCCCCCATCTTGTTCTACAGTGACTTTAACATTATGGTTTTGGCTAGGACTGGTTGTTATTGCTTCACTTGTGGATGGTGTTTCCTTGGTTGGTACATCTCTTGGTATTTCTTTCTGTTTTGGTAAATCTACCCATTTGAATGCTTGACATTGGGGCTGACCTCTGCATCTTAGGAATCTGCATCCATAGCTTCTTGATTGTTGAGATGTGTATAAGTCCATGTTGTTTGGGCAGCCCTCTATACAAGGAATGTATTTATAGGTGCATGACTTGGCCCAATGACCTTGTTCTCCACAATGGAAACACTAAACAAAAGATAATATGTTAGTCTTGTTAGCAAGAACAAATGAAATAAACAAAACTCATACCTTGTTCCAACTTCTTCCCCCTTCCCCTGCAGCCATATGAGTATTCAAGAAGGGTAATAAGCAGCTTTTTCCAACCTGAAATGTGTATTGATTTATAGGGAGTAATGTGGAAGGGTAGTTACATATTGTTGGATGAGCATTTATGACTCATTTATGGTTTGATGTATACATTTATTGTACTTTGACTAGTAAGGGAGTTGTTGACATATGCTTTGTTTTTTCTTTCTTAGATTTAAATTATGTTCTTATCCTTTATCTTCATGTTGTATCTCTTTTTTCAATAGGTCTGAGCTTGGTGTTCTGGGATTTGTGTTTGACTCACTTCTGGGTAATGTCATTAGTGTGCATTTTTTTCTTCTGTTTTGTAGCCTCATTTCAAGCTTCACTTTTGTAGGATGGGTTTGTGTTAAGTCTTGCAAGTCTGAGATGTGTAGGTTTGGGAGCTGTTTGGGAAGTCTGGGATTGGGAGCTGTCTGGGAAGGCTTATGTCATTTAGGATGGGTAGGATGCCAGGAGGGTATTCATGTAGGATGGGTAGGATCAAACTTTAGTTTTGTAGGATGGGTATTGTGTTAATAAAGGATGGATTGGGAGCTGTCTGGGAAGTTTAGGATGTGTAGCACCAAGCTGCCAGGAGGGTATTCATGTCCTTTAGAAATGTTTGGAAGGTTAACTAACAGACCTGGTTAGTTTAGGGTGTAAATACTAACAAATTTCGAATTAGGGTGCAAAGGCTAATTAGGGGTATAAAAGAGGGTGCAAAGTCTAAATAACCCATAAAGAAAACAAACCCTAGGGTAGCTATTTCCATCTTCGACTTGCTCAACTTGTTCACGCTCAAAACGTGCCGCTGAACCAAAACTTGCCGCTGGACCACGATTCAACTTGTTCAGGCTCGATAATTCCTGTCTGAATCATTCATGCCGCTCGATATTTCCTTTCGTTTGGTTTCTCACCTTTCATCTTATTTGATTGCGGACAGTTTCCTATCACTCGATCTTCCATTAGCTGTTAGCCGCGCTGAGGACTTTCTTTAGTATTCTCGTTCGATTGCCCTATCTTCTTATCCAAGGTAACTTTAATCTTCCACATCTATTACACTTTTCAGCAATCTATCGGGTTACTGTATTAATTTATTGAATCACTACTTGCTTCTTTGATTTGATTGGCTGATTTGCTTCTCTGATGCACTGAGACTTTTAATATTTACATATGATATCTTATGAAATGGCTGAAATACCAAACTTGCTCCCAGTAAAGTATCATGGGTCTTACAGTATTTAAAAGGTGAAAATCAAGGGCACCTAATTAAAAAGCTTTAATTTATGAAGTAAATCTATGCCCATATGGTTTTAGATTGGTTGGCCATTGCTTTTTCTTCAATATATAGGTTTATAAACCTAATCCTAATATATAGTTTACAGGTCATTCACAGAAGTCACATACTCGCATTGCAAGGTAGACGGTAAATGGTACTTTTAGTCCAACAGTAATTTCTTGATTTGGTTTAATTCTTCTAATGCATGTGAGAGTTTAAGGAAAACGAGTACGCCAACACTTGCAAACACCCTTTCTCTCTCTCCATAATGAGTATTGCCTATATTTTCAAATCAAATTCACACGCTTATTGTAGTTCATTATTTTCTCTATTTTCATTTTCCATTACGTATTTATTTTGTATGCTATGCAGTAACCAGTAGTGGAGCTCCAAAATTTGAAGTACAACTTATCAATTATCAAGGGATTTCCCATTAGGCTGAGCTTAAATAACCTATAACCTATTGCAGAATTATTGGTGCTTGATTAGTACTTATTGTCATTGGCTTGGTATACATGTTTTGCACCTAGGAAATATATGAAGAACCCCAATCATTAAGTCAACAAAGCAATGAATAGACTCAGAGCCAGAATGACATCTCCAGTACATTACCTCCTGATAAGTTATCGGCTCAGCCATCTGCTGCTTCACATAAGCCACGGATGAGATGGGCACCTGAGCTTCATGAATGTTTTGTGGAGGCTGTAAAGAGACTAGATGGTCCGGAAAGTATGTTATGTTTATTTTGTAATAATTTTTTTCGACTGCTTGTGTGTGTTGGAAAGCTTTTAACTGTTGTTTTCTAAGTTCATTGTGAAGAGAACCAGAGTGATCTTACTTTTCGTTTTGTAATTTGTAGGGGCAACCCAAATGCTATGCTTCAACTAATAAATGTTGAAGGTTTAACTATCTATCATGTGAAGAGCCACCTCCAGCTGATTTTAAGTCTTCCATTTTTTCCAATGTTTATAATTGCTGATGAATTTTGGTAAATGATTATTTAATATTTTATGCAGAAATACAGACTTGCAAAGTATATGCCTGAAAGAAGTGAAGGTAAAACATTTCTGGGTGATAATATCTTCTCTAACATTTCTGTTTGTCATTAGCATTGATGGCGTTCATTTTCATGATCATACTCATCTAAATAAGGCATTTAATAATAATGTTGCATGGTGGACTTTGGATGTTTAACTGTATTATTCTTTTAATGGTCTCGTTTATCTTATTTCCAACTAGCCATGATGATATTATTGGAAGGTATGTGTGTGGCTGTGTTTAATATTCTATTTTTCTATGTTTTACTTATATTCTGTCTTTTTTACATGTCTTGAACAAGAACATCTTTTTGCTGGGATATAAGAAGAGCTACTTTCAATAGGCTTACAGTTTTCTATTAGAGGTAAGTTTATGTTTGGTTATTGTTTTCTAAATTTATTATTAAAACATTAGTTTTGACAGATTGAGGCTTCTTTGGCTATTATGTATATGGAAGAAAGAACTTGATGAGGTGGGAGAAGCAGATACGGAATATTATTTTACTTGCTACTTTGACCAAGAAAAATGAATTTTTAAATAGTTGAATTTGTAATTTTCAGACTTTCATAAAATCTAATGAGTAACAAATTTTCCTTTTGTTATTTATGCCAGATTGTCCACCACTTATTGTATACATCCATTTGCGGCTTACGGCTCTAGTAAAAGGTGGGATTCAAGTACAAGATGATACAACGTATAAAAAAAGCTAAAAGACCCGAAGTGGTATTCCATTTTTGTTTTAGTTTTCCAATCTTTTAATCGTTATTAAGAGTATAGGTGGGAATCATGCATGAATTTACTACATGACATTTTAGAGAGTAAATGATAAATTTTAATTATGCTGCTAATCGAGAGAACATTTATTCTAAATCTCAACAAAATCTCTTCTTACTTCTGCTGGTATTCGTTAAATCGAGAGAACATTGCAGTTTATCACTAATTTTCAAAGAAATGCATTTCTATTCAATATTGCAGGTTTTTGGACAGCTGAATTTACTAGAGATCGCAAGCAATACCTATGGGCTTCAGACTTATTTGGTGTGGCTAGATTGTTCTTGGTTTTTTTTTGTGTACTTGATATCAAGGCTCTCCTGCATCTCTATGAAGAGGTAACAAATGTGCTCATTTCTTAGCTAACAAAGATCTCTCCCCCCGTCCCCCCTCGATGACAACCATTAGAGAAATGCCAAGGGAGTTAGCCTGACTTTTTGTGGAGGAAAAAAATGTAGTTCAAAGTCCTTAAAGCAATAGTCTCAGTGCATTTTCTTTCATTCTTTTCTGTTGTACAAAACAACCAATCGACTGTAACAAAAACTTAAGTTAGTATATGCTTTGTTTTACTTGTATTAAATGGTGTTTTTTATTATAAAACTTAACTAATTCCGTTGTCTTGTATTTCCAGGTTTGAAGCTGGACTGAGTAACGAGTACTGATCAACCATCAATCCTCATGTTTTCTTTTTGATAAATATTTGAATTTGTATTTTTTTAATAGTTGAAGTACAAAAGTGTTGTATAATCAAATTTGTGAGATTGTAATATGTATCTATGAATAGTTGATTCATATTATGACTATTAAATTTGTGATTAATAAAATTTGTGTTCTGATAATTTTCAATCTTGTTAAATACAATTTGCAAACGCTGTCATTATTGGATAATTAATTATGCTAGAAAAATGTATTAAAATAACGACGGTTAAATATATTGTCGATGAAAAATAATGATGAGTGAGTT